GTATCTTTGGTAATCCTGCAGAACTTTCTTCTCTTCCATCCGGTAGAAGATAAGCGCGTAAACCATCCATAATGACTTCTTCGCCAGGTAACATGTTAGGCGTCAAGATTTTAGGTTTCTGTATTGGCGGTAATCTCTTACTTTCTCTATGGACAGCTTCGAGGGTTTCGATGTGCATATGAACAACGCCAGGAACCATTTGATGTAGACATCTAACATGTTCAGCGCTTACACCACCTTCAGTACAAACACGGTCCACAAATCGTGAAACCATTCGAATTACTGCACTACCAGTCTCTCCAGGATCAGTTTCTTCAAACCCAGACTCTGCATCGCCACTGTCACTTGCTACACTATTTGTAATACTATTGCTTGCTCTCTCGTCATCATAAATATTATCTTGACGGTGAGTCTTTGCTCCTACATCTAATGGAACCAATAAGTAAACCATTCTATTTGCATAATGTATTGCTTGACTATACATGGTGCTTTCTTCACTTGCTATGAGTTCTTTCTGTTTTTCTGGATCAATTGTCGGCCAGATTCTCATTTGTTCTGCAGCTATTTCAAGAGCTGATGGTTCTTGAATTTGATAAATTGAGTATCGGTCACGAAATGGAAATTCTTTACCGTCACGTGGACTAATAGGACTTAAAATGCCATCATTTATTAGACGTGGCGGAGAATTTTCACCAGGAAGATATAATCGTTTAATATCTTTTTGAACATCCAAATAGAAAGCGTCTTCCCAAAATTGTTGATTTTGCCACACTGGATGTTCTTGAATACAGGTATAAGCAAATTGGATTACTCCTGTACAAAGTTTTCTGCAAAATGCAGTTGCAAGAGGAAGAAGTGCAGCAGCAACTCCATGTTCATCCATGGACGAATCATCTTGCAATGCACAATTCATTAATCGAACAACAAGATCAAATTGTTGATGTTCTAACATAGCTTTATTTCCAACAACGTGCTGTGATAATTCCATGCAAAGCGCTAAACGAGCAGCTTTGCTTTTCAAAGCTCGTAAGACCGCTGGAAAAGTTTTACGAGCATCGGATATTTTATTTTCAAATATACAGTTTATACAATTACGTAGAACTTCCAGTCTACGTGCAGAATTGCTAACCAAATGTCTAGTGTCATGGACAAATGAAATGTGTGGACCCATAGGTACAATACGAGGTTGTGATGGTCTTAATGATGATAATCTATGTACAAAAAAGGAAGTATAATATATAAAAGTATAACACGTGTACACAAGTTTATAAAACTTATCTTTGATACACACCTAACTTTAAGATTATTTTTTGCAAGACCTTCATCTATAATTGCTTGAACTTGTTCTGAATTAATGCGTGGTAAAAGCGGCTGATGTATTCTAGCAAATGCTCCTTCAGGTGGTTTTAAAATTTTTTGTACATATGGTTGTGGATTTGGATTTTCGTTTGTATATAATTGTTGTGCTAATTCTTGAATATGTGTTAAAACGAGTCCTAATAATAGTATAGATTAGAATATACATATCTGAACGAAATTTATAATGTTTTATACAGGCTGTTCCAAGAAAGTTGTACAGCCACAAATGCAAACAACTGACTGATGTTGCCCGAGGTCAACTTATATATTTCAATATTATTATTACTTACTAGTATCTTGTGCTTCTTGTTTTAATTGATCGCTCAAATTATTATATAATTCATCCCATACATCACAAGGCCTCCAAGGTGGTCCCCTTTCTGCAATGAAGGAAGTAAAAAACATGCAATCCAATACTCTAGTTGTAAAATCACAATCTGTTAAACCACGTTCTCCTAAGAATGCTGCCTGGAAATAAAAAATATAATTTGTATATACTTCTTTATTTTTGTATGTTATAGAATAATATGAATAATAATTAACAACCTTATGAAATGTTATAACAGGTTTTGGATGAATTCTTATCAATGTCAGACAGCTTCTGTATCCTTGCAACAACTGAGCAAAGGTTCGCATGAAAACTGCTCTTAATTCTTTATCTAACATAGGTGAATGAGGAGCTCTTGTTGCAAGTGGTGGAAATGCATAATCTGCACAGGATAATTCTGGTTGCAATACTAAAGACAATGCATCCTGGGTTTGTGAAAGAAGTGGTTCAGGGAGTAAGGGAAGTGAAACTCCATCTGGGACCATGATAGACCCTCCATCTAAATCAGCAACTATTACATCCATCTGTCAAAAAAATATGTAGTACCTAATAAAAATAATTATGACATAGAAAATAATACAGAACTACATTAAATATCTTACAAGTTCTGCAACTTCATGTTTCAGTGAACTGTGTACACCCATAATAAATGGAGTAGGTGTACTGAGTACTTCAACTAAAGCTGCTGGTAAGAGAGGAATGTAAACATGAGTATATCTAAATGGATACATCAGTGCAGTGAGAGCACGACATCCTTCAGTTAATCGTGAATAACTTGCAGAATGAAATAGTATTTTATGTTCTGTCATGACAGCACAAAATAATACTAATACGTTACGAATACCTATAAAATATACGTTTTTCTTTAACGAAAAAAATTACAAAATTAACATGTATATACCAATAATTAATTTATTCTTACCTAATTGTTGAAATAAAAGGTTTACACTACTATGAGTTATTGGAAGAGAAGGACTGATTGGAGGTTGAAGTGCTTGACGATCACCTGCACCAATGCTAAACCGTACTTGTGGTCCACCAGCAGGTGGTACTTGTATACAGCCTAATATGTTTCCTACCAATGTCTCTAATGGTATACCAAGATTTTCTACATATACTGTGTATATAATACCAAGGCAATTCTATAGAAATAATATAAATATTTTATTGTTGGACCCAAAAGTAAAGTCATGTTATTAACTTCAATAGAATAATACATACTCTAAATGTTTCAATGTAATCAAGTCTGGAAACCAGCACCAGACATTTAGGTGCATACATAATGCTATGGTGTGTAATTGTTGGCATTGTTCTAACCAAAGAACGACTATCACCATCTACAGGGTCTTCTTCTTCATCTACAGGCTTACTTGGCACAATAGACACAGTTTCATTAAAACACATGCATGCACAGTAGTGACGGTTTGCATCGATGTCAGTTAAAATGGATACAAAAAACCTTGGCTCTTGTCTTTCTGTAGATAATGCCCATCCTTGTGGTTGGCAAAACTATAAAATAATACACAACTAAATGAAAAATATAAAAATTAAATAAAAGTATATCTTACCCATTCTATTCCTTCTATAAATGGTGTATCTGGCCAATCCTTCTCAGGGAATCTTTGTAAAATGATCCCATTACTTATACCACCTCCTATAATAGTAAATAATAATAAAGAATGTATTAAACATTTATAACAATGTTTATATATAAAGATGTTTATATCTTAAAACAAATAAGTTAATTCTTAAATACTATCATAAGGAAAATTTTACTACATGTAAATTTCAGTTTAATATTATTAAAAAATGTAATAACTAACATCAATTATTTGAGTATTTATTTAGCTTACTAATAGTGATAATGATATTGAGAAACCAATCAGTTCTCAGTGATAGTCTTTAAGAGTACATGCAACATATTTTAGATAACAATGTGTTGATAAGAGTTAATATTTAAATTAAAAAATTAGAATGTGAAATGGACAACTATAGTATATAAGAATCAAATGTCATCCACAAACCTATACAGAGTTTATTATAAAAATGATATAATCATTATTTGTCGTATGAAATATTTGCAAATAATTTATGTGGACAACATTTATATATTTTTAGAGAGTAATTGGTGGTTAAAAGGTGAAAACTTACTCTCTTTTTCGTGGTCGTAGCCGACCACAACAAAGTAGTCGGCTAGACGAGACATTTCGGTATATTCGTGGGAGTTCGTGGGGATGATAGCGCCCAACATCCCACGTAGACTTTAATACACGTGATTTCATGGACCGTATCCTATCGAGTAACAATCAACTACCTTGTGTCAATGTTACGCATAATTACGTGTCAATATGCAAATTAATTAAAAAATATCATAAACATTTTCGAATGTATATTCTTTCATGTAAACATTTATCAGATTTTAGAATGAACAGTTAAAAGTACAACAGAGTTCTGAATATATTTAAACGATTTTTGTTTTGTTTGAAGTACAATTTCCAGGCAGTGGTTGAAAGATTAAAGACACCACATACACTGTTGAAAGAAGATCCCTTGCACTCGTCACATTTAGAAAATAGGCTCATTCGTCATTATGCGAGAATATAATATTTCATTTATTTTATAACTCGCAATATGATGCCACACCCCGAAGCTTTAATCCATAACCTTCCAAGTTCAAGCGCCACATTGAGTGTTTGTTGAACCGCGTATGAACCAAAACGCGCCACAGATATACAAACGAAGAGACGAACGCGCTATAATTCGCATTTAATTTAATTTTTTTTTGTCTTCTGCTTGGGTCACTGAGAATATCTTGAATCTCAAAACATAAACGTTATTATAGATGTTACATCGATGTAACTTTTTAGCTTGTTCAGATTGAAATCATTGCATAGTTGATGCATATACAACATTTGCAAGTACAGCATATTATTTAGAATCGTAGGACTTATAAACATATTCTATATACATAACTAAAAATTGTTTACAAAAACAAATTTAGTTGTTTTCACAATTAATTTAGTTTATTGATTCTCTCCCATTACAAGAAGATGGCGCTTGAATGACATACCTGCTCATTTTGTCTGAGTATAATCACATCTAGATGTATACAGTATCATCAATTTGCGGCAATTTCAAACCTATCGCCTCATCGCACTCACACCTCTCCCATTCCATACTAATAGAACAAGATCGTAGCTTAGTTTCCTTAAATTTCTAAATTGCACTTCTTAAGATAGTCCTTGGATATATCTCTATATCAAAATGCGGAATATTAATTTTGTTTCAATGTTCTTCTGCAAAGTGTAAAATTTGGAGATTTATGTACTTGGAAATTTAAGCCACCCAGTATATTTGGTATAACTAACATAACAAAAGCGCATGTGCATTGCTTTTAGTTATGAAGCATGATTCTACCAATAAGAACTGATATGCGCAAAATGAATGGAAAAAGAATTTGTTTCTCAGGGTAGGAAACATTTATTGTAACTCAAGAAAATAAACTAGAACGCGTAACATGTGTACAAATTCAACCTTTGTTTTGAACGAAATGAGCAGAAATTATTAAGCATATTTTGAACATGAAATAAGTAAGTTTCACGAAATAAGTCATTTAGATTAACTTTCTTGGAATTAAACATTTATTTCTGGTACAGATAAAATAATAAATATGAAAAGTAATGCTTGTGCCATTATTACAAAGGGTTATCATACTGATATTGCTTTAAAAATTTACAGGTAATTAAACAAGGAATACAGGTATTAGTAACTATAGTTTCTAATAATTATTAGTATAAGTTTAGTACTCCTGTATATTGTTTACTAATTTTTTTCTATCAATATTTATTTTTAGCAATCGAGTATTGTTGATTGTAACACACTTTAAGAAGTTTGGATCATTAATAGCAGTAACTCGAGGATCATCATTTCATCCATTTAGTAGTAGTATATATTCTACAAAGTAAGTAAATCTGTGGTTTATCAATATATAATTTCAAATTAATTTGACATATTTAATAATGATTTTAGGGTTTTATTTGGAAAGGATGACATTGAAATTGTTGCAGCTGCTCGTTATATAGCAGAACAAATTAATATAGATAAACCATTATTAATATCATTATCCTTAAAAGATTATGAACCAGATACTTTAAAAGCCATTGTTGCTGCTATAAATACATTAAAATGATATTACTGTTATAAAATAACAATACAAATATGAGTTTAATATTTGGTCAATTAGTAATTGGTCCACCAGGGAGTGGAAAAACAACATACTGTCATGCTATGGGCAAATTTTTAGAAAAGCTTGGTAGAAAAGTAGCTATTATTAATATTGGTAAATATTAATTAATGTTGTATTTAGAAATAATTTTAGAAATTAAATTTTATACATTGATAATTTATATTTGATTTTTACATTTTCAGATCCTGCAAATGAGAATATGGAATACACACCAGTAATAGATATATCTGAATTAATAAAGCATGAGGAAGTAATGTCACATTATAAACTTGGACCAAATGGAGCTTTAGTTTACTGTATGGAATTTTTAGAAGCCAATGTAAAATGGCTAATTACAAAGATCTTAAATTTGAAAGATCATTATCTTATTATTGATTGTCCTGGCCAGGTACATATAAGTAAATATTATATTACAAAACATGTATTTTTAAGCTTTATTTAATATTTATTAATAGGTTGAGTTATACACACATCACAAATCAGTCAGCACAATTGTCGAGAAATTAAGCCAGAATTTGGTAAGGTTGTGCAGTGTACATCTTGTTGATTCTCATTATTGTAGTGATGCTGGTAATTATTGTTTATTATAATTTTTGTATAAACTACATTCAAAATTGCGTTCGTACATATAATTATTAATTTTTTCGTTTGTAGGTAAATATTTGTCTTCTTTAATTTTATGCACGACAACTATGTTACAACTAGGATTACCTCATGTTAATATCATGACAAAATTTGATGAAATGAAAAAATTTAGCCACTGTCTAGATTTTAATATAGATTTTTATACTGAAGTGCTTGACTTAAAATACTTGTTGGATAAGCTGGACGAAGATCCATTTACATCAAAGTAAACTTCCTATTTTTTTTATTAATTTATAATAAATATTTAGAAATGTTCTAATTATTAAAACTTAAGTATTATATGTTTTGTATTTTAGGTATAAAAAATTGAATACAGCTTTTGTATCATTAATAGAAGATTATAGTCTTGTTAGTTTTATACCATTAGATGTTTCCAACCAAGCTTTATTACTACAAGTAAAGAATGCTGTAGATAAAGCTAATGGCTATATTTTTGGTGGAAACGACCCTCAAGATGTTCAAACTTTACTTGCATGTGCAGTAGGAGCAGTAAGTGAAACTGAAAAGATGTCCACAGTAGATGCATACTTCTAAAGAATTTATTTTCTAAAAATAGCCCAGTTAATAATATTTTTTTCATATTACTATCTTTTAGTATTTTAAAAAATGTTTGATATATTTGAAAGAAACGTACAAGAATTCAATAAATATACTTTATTAATTTATTAAATAATAAATTAGTCTTTTTGACTAACAAATATCTGCGCTAAATTGTCATAATCATATACCCTCTTCAAAAATGTATCCACTAATTTTAATCCTGAAATAGTCTAAAATATTATACATTATGATATTAAATAATATATTGTTATTTTTAAAATACGTATATCATTAAAAATACTTACAATAATACCACTACGTAATGCAATTAAGCATAAAGGAATATCTATTGATATTCCAGGTTTTAATGTTCCTATTGTTGTATTAGATATACCACACCATGCTATGGAATTATTTGATTCCAAACTTAACATCAAATCCATGCTTCTTTCCCTATTAAAAAACAAACTTTATGTTGATTATTTTTTTTTTAAATATTTTTAATGCACAATATTGTCGTTTTAGTCTACTATCCGGATTTTAATCGACCAATATTGTTTTAATATATTAACTAAAGTTAAGCTAATTTTTCCTATTTTTGTTTTCATTCCCGTATGTAATATCGATACTTACGACGTATTAATTATGTGGCAATTAAAATTAACCGATTGTTCAAGATAAACTGTTAAAGGAATATCTTTCATAGTAACCCTTATATCACCATATTCAGGTGCCTGAGAAAAGAAAAATATTAAGATATAAATTAAGTTTTTGAAAAATTCAATCAATGGCATATCCAGTAAAATACAATTTAACAAACCATTCTTTGTAACTGACTTGTTTGTAATCTTCCCCTTTCCCCTAAATTACTTCTCCATACAATATCTAATTTACCAATATTAGTTGCATTGTGCATCATTTTTGGGTCTTTCAATAAACTTAATTGTGGTTTTAAACAATACAGGTATTGCCTGCTGCAATCAGTATCTAATAAATTAACTAACCCATAAATAGATTCACCTTTTTCATTTGTATTTAATGTTGATACTGAAAATATTATAATAATCGCATGAAAACTGAGGATTGAATTACTTATAATAACAGTAACTGATAAACTTACCACTAAATAAATGAGATGATTCAAGCGCAACTTTTTCTAAACATATTGGACCCGCTGTGAGATTCTGTATCTGTGCTTCTAAGTATACTTCATCTGACTTTAAAAAAAGTTATGTTTTACAAATAAATCTTTTTTATAAACAAATTATTCAATTAAATGAAAAAGTTATAAAAAAAGGATATTATACAAAGAAAATTATAAAAATATTACCTCTGCATTATAAAACTTTGTTTTTACATCTAATGGTTTGACTACTTGAAATTTAAAATATTTTCTGAATGATTGTGATGTGCCACCTAAATTTGTAGATGTGTAAGTTACTTCACACACCAATCTGAAATGAAAATAACTATTTAGTAAATATTAATATTTTCATTCTAATACCCCATATAAAAAAAGTGAAATTTTATAAAGTAACAAGTAAAATTGATTAACTAATCTACTTTTATATTTTGTATGGTTACCTGATACAGTATAAAATGTATTACTACATAGAATGTATATATAATGCAAGATAACTACATAAGATATAAAAGTGAACTGAAATAATCAGTTTTCCTTATCTTGTCACGCCTTATAAAACTTCATTTTTCTAAATATATGATATTAGAATTAAGGTAGCAAATTGTTGTATTATTATTTTATTATATTCTCTTACATATGTGTTCCTATTTCTTTCACTTCATGGTGTATTACTTCATCAACTGTATTATCAGGTGCCAAATCTTTCATTTCTCCACTACTACCACAAAGAGAAATAATTTGGGTGCTTGTTTGTAAATCAGCCTATGAAATGTTAAGAATGAATGATAAATTAAATATTATATGTATGCAGTTAATATCATTTTTTACTTTTTAGTAAACACAAGTTTTGCTTATATACTTAAAACATAAAAAGGTATTACTTACTCTTACGGTAACATTTTTTACCAACTGACTGCTACCATTATGTACACAAAGATAACTTGAAAATATTTCACCTAAGTAAATGTTCCTGGAAATGTATACAATATATATACAATTCTTACATAAAATTATCTTTGATAAAATTATTAATATTTATTTATATACATACCCAAAACTTTGTGGTAACACCATAAACTGTCCTACTGCAAGAGTTTCCATTCCTTGTAAAGCAGTACAATCATTTTTAAGCTCATTGTTTAATGTGTTACCAGGAAGATCTGTTGAATCACATGTGACAACTACTGGACTTGCAAGTGTGGGTCTTGTTAATCTCATCACTACGAATAATGAAACATCAAAATGTCATCAGTAATAACATTTTAAACATTATTAAAATAATCATGTTATTTTTCTAATCACACTCAAAATCTTACAAGAATTATTGTAATTACCTTTTAATTCTAACAAATGTTCACTTTTCGGTTTAGTTTCCATTTATGTAGATTACAGAAGATTAATAAAAGACAAAGCTTAAAAAATAAATTTGTATTGAAATTAGATAAAAACTATTGACATCAAATGCTTCTTAAGAAGTATAACCTATGGAGCACGTAACATTCTATTCGATTCGACTGAACCAATTAATTATTGAATACAAAAATACTAATTATCAAGTTACATTCTTTCTAAAATAATTTAAAACAGTTTTCTCATAACTTTCTTTTTTATAAACTTAGAAATGATTATTGTGAATATGCTCTATTTGGGGAAAACATATTTGCTGTCTAACCAATTTTTGTTGGTTTTGCGCATGTGAGCATACTTCATAACTAAGGACAACGTGCAAATGTCTGCGACTTTCATGACACCAAGCATATATACTCGGTGGGCAGAAAATTTGAGAAAATAAACTCCAAAACAAGCTTGATTATCTTTGACAAAATTACAAATTTTCATTTAAAGATTTTTGTAAGTATATAGTGCCAACAAAAAAAAATTGCGTAAAATATTTCTTCTATTTGGTAGATTCCTTGTGCCATCAATTTGTATCCCTACTAATATACATAATTTTCGTCTGTCGAGTATATAACTGATGAGTAGACAGTACTGAATTAGTAGGACAGCAGTAACTAATGAAAAACATAATGAAGTTAGTCACATTGCGCGAAATAGGTTAGTCTGTAGGCGGGTGGAGTGTAAATTTAAATAAAGCGATAATAAAAGATATTAAACTTCATGTAGTGCACACATTTTTTGCATACTCTCTGTAAGAGTACGTAATAAGAGTAATAGAAACTTGATGACTTGTAAACATAAAAACTTAAAAATTTATAAATTGGGGAATACAGAACTTCGAAAATTTATTTTCAAAAATTATAAGTACGCATGCGCGTAACTCTTGGTTACGAAAAAGGTGGCATATACAGAAAGAATGAAAACAGTACGCTGAGTGTGATCTTTCATTGAACACCGAACAATAATGAATTTGTAAATTAGGATTCATTATGTTCTGTTTATTTATTTAAGAGAACATTGATTAAAATAATTGTTAAAACAATAAACAGCATTTTCAATTTCTATATAATGCGTTTTACCAAATATTTGTATTCAAATCTATAATTTATAACGTTTGTTTTTCAAAAAACTGTACATTAAAAGTAGATTGTTTTATTTGTAATATGTGAATAATAAAATCATTATCGTAAGTTACTTATAATTTGAAGTTATCATTATGTTTAAATGAAATGATATAATTATATGGAATGGCTGAATTGCATATAATTGGTAGGATTTTGTCAGCAAAAGATTTTAAACAATCACAACTTTTATGCAAGTGGAGCTTCCATACTGGTAATGTAACCGTTATCATATTTGAGAATTTGATATCATATAAAATATTAATAATTAATATATAATTGTACATTTGGTAATGATTTTATTCTTTTATGCAGGTAATGGATGGAAAGTATTGAACGGTTGTGAAGAAGGACAAACTCAAGAAAGCTGCGACATATATATTAATGAACCAATTTGGGATCATCCTATAGATTTACATTATACAACTCAAACTCTTCAAAATTCACCAAAGCTTTTATTGCAAATATTTTTTAGAGATACACATGGAAGGGTATTGTTTGGATCTTATGGAATTTGTAATATTCCATTATCCCCTGGATTACATTGCATAGAATGTCACACATGGAAACCAATTGGTTAGTTGAATATCTTTTGAGAAACTTTTAGTATATTATTACTTTGTACATGTAATATTTTCAACTAGAATATGGTTGTAGGTAATTGGAAAGATAGATTAAGAGATAAATTTTTGGGAATAACTTTACAACTGAAATCTCCAAGTGTCTTAGTTAATTCCTTGGATAGATTTGAACTGCTTACAGAAAGTATGGGTACAGTTAAAATTGAATTACACATACTTACAAGAAATTTTGAAAAATATGGATGTCACTTATAAATGCAAAATATATTACCAAATAAATACTAAATAAAAATATTTATTAATAAGTATATTTCATATTACTATTATATAAAAATCCATCAAAATGTTTACAAACATATTTCTATCAATATTTCTTTATCTTACATTCAATCAATTAATACATACAAAGAAACTTGAAGATATACTTACATGTGCAAATGAAACAGAATGTGATGAATTAGTAGAAAAAGATGTATCACAAGGAACATTAAGTACCACGACTGATAGCATTTATAATACAACTAGTACTAGTACTAGTACAAGTAGTTCTATATATCCAACACAAATTACAAAGATTAATATATCAACTATGCAAACACCTCACAAAATTAAATACAATAGTGAATTAAAAAATCATACTGTACATAAGGTGGAGTCTGCTGTATGTGAATGTGATTTAACAGTAAGTTTATATTATTCATGAAATTTTTTATTTAATGTATAAAATTGTAATATTTAATTTAATTTTTTTACTTATAACAGGTATCATCATGTGACATTAATTGTTGTTGCGATAAAGATTGTAATGAATTCCATTTAACAGTATTTTCACATTGTGAAGATCATCCAGCAGAATTGTATGATAAACGTTATTGTTATCACAAAAATTATATAGAACGAAATAACACTCCATTTATACTTGAAAAACTCGCAAATAATTTGTTTTGTATTTTATATGACAATCTTCCGCCTACATATAGCATTACTAACGATTTGGTAAGATTAAATTACTTTAAATTATTTTAATTTTTGCGATTCATGGTTAATTAAACCTTATATGCCATACAGGATATAAAAACAAATAAAGATTTAAAAGAAGCAATGAATCCAAATAGACTGACATGGAAATGGAAAGACCAATTATATGTACCTGAATATAACAATTCTAGTCCTTATAAAGATAATGACATTATATGGAAAATACATGATAATTATGTGGAACCTTTGGGTATGTATTATTGTAGTTTTATATAAAATATACTTGTATAAATACTTTAATAAGTATTTTGTTTGTTATTTAATTTAGAAATTCCACAATCTGGTTTTACTGAATTATGTTCATTTAAGAAAACTGTAAAATATCTTCGTGAATGGAAACATCAGTGTTTACAAACTGATTTAAATAATACAAATAAATTTTTATTTCCAACAGCATTTAATAATTTCACTGTTATTGTATCTCCCCATTTATTAAATGAAACCTATATCATGACATCAAACGAGGTATTTATAAAATTTGTATTTTTCTTGTAACACAAGAATGTAATAATATTTAAATATATTATTTGCAGAGTTGTCCCAGAAATGTGTGTCTAACATTAACTAATTATTACTGTAAATATTCTTGGAAAACATGCAACAATGACACTATCTTAGGATCCTGTTCTAATGGAACATGTTACAATATTGTAACAGGTGTGAAGTATATAATTATTCACAATGGTTCCATGGGGATTAATAGCTTCAATGTATATTTTAATATAGGAAACGTTTCTCAACATTTTTATCAACAATTTGAAATAAGTTATGAATGGGCAGAAGTAGATAAAGAAAAAACTTTTTCTTTAAGCGGTAATCCAGGCTATATTTTTGGAAGACCATTAATTATTGGTACCTTACAAATAAATAAGACTAATAACGTGGAAGTTAGATATATTAATTTTAATAAAACTAATAGTTTTTTTACATTACCTATAGCTACAAGATATGGTGAATGTAGTGAAGATAACAGATATACTCCTCTTTTTGGAGAAGATATTAAGCTGAAATGTTCTATATCTTTAAAAACTAATAACTTTAATACAACATCTTGTATAAAGTTGCAAAATCATATAATGCTTCTTATAATGACAAATTCTTTATTCAATGTTACTCAGATAGATAAATACAGTATTTATGTTTCCAAATCGGGTAACTTCTTCAGCAATGATACAGCTGATTGGGCACAAATATTACTTGACAGAGTGCCTCAAAATACTATTACAGGACATTTAATTAATGGTCGAGCATACTGTTCAGGGTTAGTAACATCTATACAGTTAGATATTTTATATTCTGCATTAGCAAAACCAAAATCCCTGACTAATTATAATATACTAGGAGTAGGTATCACTTTTGCACAAGAATCTGATATATTCTGGTCAAAGTGTATGTCTGAAAACTGTACAGATATATTGCAAGTAGATATTATTAATTATGTTATGTTCCATGATATATCGAAGCCGTCCAAATACTACTTTGCAGGGAGTCCTAATTTAGATCTTACATTGCCATATGATTTTTTTTATCCATTTTTAGGTAGGTCAAACTGTATTGAACCTAGTGTGTTTTTAATTAATATAACATTCGCTATATTTTTGCGCAACTTTTTGTATTTCATCTAGTTATTATATTATTACATAGCTTTGTTTATATTCTTAAAATACAAATTACAATTTAAATTAAACTATCAGTGAATAATAAAATAATTTTATTTGACGTAAACAAATGGGAAGTTTGAAATGATACAAGAACTAATTTATTACATTAGATTAATGCAGTGTATATTTAAAAGAAATAAAAGCTAGAAACTATGTAATGTTGTATATTTTATTGCACGAGTTTTTTAAATGTAATCAGATAATTCGCCTTTTATTTTTTATATAAGAGATAACAATTAGTTTATTCAATGGCTCATAGTATATTCTGTTGAACAAAAGACTATGTTCAACGGATTTTCATCCTTGAAATAAATATATATAAATAATGTTTTTATACTTTTCACTCATTTAATAATGTTAATTTTGATAGGTTGAAGTGTCACAAAAAGTAGCAGTTTACGCCATCTCTAGTTGCCACATTGTTCAGTCAGTAACTACAAGTAAATGCTGGAAAGTTGAGAAGATAGTTGGGTTAGAACTCGCATTGTTGCCAGTTTTACTTTTAGTACGGCTAGTACTAGAGTTGGACGTATCTGAACGCGCGATGAGTACGTTCTCATGGACTACGTTTCCATCGAGGGTCCAAATCGGGTCAGAGTCGGGTTAGAGTCGGGTTTGAGTAGCGGGTTGGAGTTGCGGCAGGGTTGAACATTACCAACTGCACAAAGTCAACTACCATATTCTGACATGTAAAGGAGAGCAATATTAATTTTACAATATCAAAATAACATACAAAAATTATTTCTCAGATTACAAGATCACCGACAAAAAGTAATAGTAACCTCTTCTACACCGATTAATACAGCACGTGATACACAATGCAATTTGGATTTGTTATGTTGGCAACACGAACTCGACTCTTGTCGTTTCCACCGAACCCAATTGAACGCTACCCTAAAATTTTGTAGGGTAGAGTTCAACTAAACCTTTGGTGTTTCCACCGTAAAAGCGTTCACCCCAACCCAACTCTAACCCGACTCTGACCCGATTTGTACCCTCGATGGAAACGTAGTCATAGATCAATGATTATATCTCTTTTACATTTAAAATTTGATTATGTAATAATCATTTTAATTTTTACTTTAGTAGAAAACACTATGGTAAAGTAATAATATAATTATAATTCATATGTTTACATATATATATGTGTATATCACTGCTATATTAAAGTAAGCCAATCATCAACTTAAACAACAAAGTGCTTGTCTTCATGACACAAATTTGGGAAACATTTTCCAAGTCTATAGGATTGTAATTCAATGGATAATCCATATTACAATTTCACAAAGGTGTCGCGTTTTTGTGGTCACCGTCGCATATTTACGAGTTTAAATTACGTTTAATGGCAATACGGACGGATATTTAAACAAATTTTTGTTTCCGTTTTTGTGCTATGAAATTTCGATTTATTTTTTTACTCCTACTCATTTAAGAAATTAAGAGTAGCCTATACATGCGAATTGTCTAAACGGGCTGGTTGATGTTAAGGACGATGTCATTATTTAATAAACCGAAGAGAAATATTCGCCGTCGGCCTTTCAACGACGATGATGAAGATAATGAAAATAGGATGGAAGTGGAAGATACTCAACCTGTAAAGTCTAAAACAAAGAAGAAGGACAAACCGAAGCAGACGCTCCTTAGTTTTGGAGAGGAGCTGGAAGAAGGTACTTTTGTATAGTATATGTTCACAAGTGTATATGTTTTTTGTAAAATGAAAATTAAATTTCAGTTTTAATTGTTTTACTTATGGTAGTTAATGAAATAAATATAACAATAATTTTCAATAATTTTAATCTTTTTTGTAACAAAATAATCATGTAATGAAATGTACTGCAGAGTATAACACTTATAATTTTTAAGCGCTTTGATATTTTAATTAAATAATGATTTGCAATCTGTAATGTTACATGAGAGAGTATAATAAGAATGTGTATTTTATATAAAATCATAGTTAAAGGAACCTTGTTATATATTATTATTTATTTATTATGTTTATCTAATAAGGATGATTAGATTTTTTATCTTCTAATGGTTCTGGTACACGTAATATGTATTTATGGTAGCATTAGTCCTATTGAGCCTAAAAACTATGGATTATTTATGTAAACATGTCAAATCATAAGAACTCACACTTTTTCTAATTGCATTTTGATTTATTAAATGTATTAACTATTTCATTAAATTTAATATTAACCATAAACCATACTATAGTTTCTTAGTATATACATATGTATTTCCTTATTAAATAACAATATGTTATGCTCTGCAATGTATAATGCTATTTTGTATATTGTTCTTATTAAATGTTTAATTTTATTAAAATATAAGATTGTTAATACAATTATTTAGTTTTTAGATAATATATCAGTCATAATAATTTATTACTTTGCAGCGGATGATGGCGAAGTCTTTAAAGTGAAGAAATCTTCTAGGAGCAAAAAGTTGATGAAACAACTAGATCACGAACGGAAAAAAAAGAAAGGTGAAGAGAAAATGCAAGTGGACTCAGAGCAAGCGAACATGTCCATTAAACAGGAAAAAGATTTAGAAATAAAGACAGATGATCTAGTAGTAAGCTATCTCTATGATGTTTATTATTATTAGAATTTTTCTGATTTATGTCATTTGCTGTTCTTAAATCAGGATTTCATTTCTTCACAATGTTCAACATTTAATATTCATTGAAAAATGTGATAGAAATCTTTATCAATGCATTATAAATAAATCTTCATTACATTTATCATTCTTGTAAGTTATGTTGCTTTTTTAACTGCAAAAGTATTTTGATGTATCAAATACAGAACATAATTCTGATAACATAATGGATTTAATGAAAGTTTTAAATATGTTATGTATACACAGCTATTAAAATATGAACATATGTAGTAAGTTAAAAATCGTTTTATATATACATTATGTGATAATGTGCCATAATATAATCATTTTTGTATCTTTATATATCATAGAAATTAGAAACTGAAAAAAATTTGCATTGCTATTATGTATATCATTTTTTCAATATAATTTAACATCGACTAAACTAATAACAATTATAAATTAATTACTGAAATTATTAACATTGTTTTTTTAATTAAGGATTTTATTAAACAAAAAAATTATTTTTATTACTAGGTTAAAATAAAAAATACAGGATCGTTAATCTTAAATGGACGAGCTGCACTAGCAGCTGGAAAGGATGACTATACATCTGACGAAGAAGATGATGAACCACGTAGTCATAAATTTAGAAGAAATACAGATAAGGCTGATACAATGAAGATTCTACTTGAAAGTATGTAATATTATTATTGCAATTGTAAACAAATTTCTACTATTATTGAATCTCTTTTTATTTAAATTTATTCATTTTTTTTTACAATTTTAATTATTTAAGAAACAATATAACAAATATTATATATACATGTATTATACTCATAGGTGGTTGTATACCTGATGCTGCAATGATCCATGCAGCTAGGAAATGCAGGCAGAAAGCAAGAGAATTAGGAACCGAATATATTCCTATAGAAGAACCAAGGTAATATTTTTTCAACCAACTTATTTGTCAAATTTCTTATTTACTTAGAAAAACATATAGCAAGTATATTAACATTTGCAGCGATGATAAAGGCAAGTCAAGACTTATTAGGGAAGAAGATCATGACAGAAGCGACGACGATGATTCTCAAGATCGAATCGATATGACTGTTAATACTGAAGCACGCGATAAGGAAAAAAGAAGAGAAGCATTTCTTGCTTCACAGGTTCCATTAAAACGTTGGTATTGTTTAATTTATTTTTATAATTTCTGAAACAAATGGATATATTGTAAGCTACTTTTTAGTTTCTGATGATGAAAGTGAGCATGAAAATGAAGAGGAAGAATGGGAAGCTCAACAAATTCGGAAAGGTGTGACAGGTGCACAGGTAATCTCATTGTTTTATTTGAAAAATACGGTGTCCGAACTAAAGTGTGCAATTATTTTTGTAATCTGCAGTTTTGTTTGTGAAATTCAAACGACTGAAAATTGAGTATTCTGTGTACTTGCGTGCACGTTTATATGTATACACGTTGTCTTATACGAGTACGAATCTTATCCATGAATAACTGATACATTGTTCGTGGTCAGGGTACCGTATGTAGAACAAGCTGCACATTACAAAATGGTAAAAGACTTTTTCATTTCTTTTAGCACAGAGAATCTACAGTTTAGAGATTACACACTTTAACTGCTATTATTCATCTACAATTTTACATGACTAAATGTTCTTTTGATAAATTATAAATAATATATTTAGATTGCAGCAGTCCAACAAGATTCTATAATGCAACAACAATATTCAATGGGTATAAATGTAAATCAGATGATGGGAAGTGGAATATCTTTGGAAATGGTCATGATGCCAGCTCCACCACCGCCTCCAACAATTCAGCCACCTGATCCAACAAAAATAGTGCCAATTACGCCGCAAGAAGTTGTAAATAAAATACGTGCAAGGTTATAAATTTTATTAAAAGTTTTAAATAACTTTTGCAATATAAATTAGAAACTTTTTATCTATTTATAAAATTACTTAAGATTAGAATGAGAAATATAATTTATAGATTGGATAGCTTGAAAGAAGTACACCGACGTCATCAACTAGATCAGGAGCGTTTAGAACAAGAGTTAGGGCAAACAATGAAAGAACTGGATGTTGGCGAAATTCGTGCACCGCAGCTTGCACAGCGCTTCAGATATTACCAAGAGTTGCGTGGGTATGTCACTGACTTGGTAGAGTGTCTTGATGAGAAGGTGGGTTTATACGCTGTCACGTTTTTTTATGTGCACTGGGGTTTTCCATGCAATTTTTGGCTGTACAAGTTATTCAGCCATATTAGAAGCAATGCATTTTTCTTACCGAATAAATTTTTTAATAAAATCTCTGTAGTACTGTTTTTTCTTAGATGTTTAAACAAATATATTTTTCATTTTAATTTGCTTTAAAAATTAAGTTTTAAGTTGTAGATATTTTACGTTGGACCATAATGCTTTACTTTATTTATTGAACAGAAATAAATGAATCAAAATATTGTGTATGATATAGTTCAATTGTAATACGTTCTTATTTAGATAATAATTTGAAAATTATAGTTTACAATCACTTATTATTAGATAAAAATTTAACAGATATTTTTAACCCTTTAATTTTCATTTAACATATTTTTATTTTATTACACTGCACATAGGAAAAATATAGTAACCTTCCTTCTCTATAATTATTAATAATGAAATTATTAAACAATAATAAAGTATTTTAAGGGTTAATTTAAAATTATGTAATTTCAGCTAAAGTTATTTACAATAGAAGTAAGAATTCAATTTTGTTTATCAATACTTTTATCATTTCAAATTTTTATGAAAATGTTTACTTTAGTATTTACAATTTATGAAAAAGAAAAATGCATACTGAGAATAAAAATGTGTAAAACAAAATTAGAAATTATATATTATGTATACTTATATTGCCGGGGGTCTGTATCTTCTCTGTATACAACAAATTATTTATTCTGTAGTAAGAATTACTGTTAAGTACTTATAGTTTTTGAAAAGATAAATTAATAATTGCGGTAAGTAAATTAATATTAATTTTTAATTTTATCTCGAACAGAAGATATCCGATGACTGTGGAATTATATATTGAGTTCCAGCAAATGTTAACAATAACTGTTTATTAGCAAGTTATTACACGTGTTTGGTGTTTAAGCTAAATATGCATTTATAATTATAAGATTATAGAATAAATATTTTTTGGAACAAAAATAATTCCCAGAGTCATTGAATTGATTCACTGTGTGAATGTTAACATAAAACTTTTTTGTTAGCTGCCGCTGGTCGTTGGATTGGAGCAACGCTGGTTAGATCTTTACAGCGAACGTACCACTGAACTAATGGAGAGAAGACGTCAAGATACGAGAGATCAAGCAGAAGAAATTACGACAGCTGCAAGTCAGTTATTTTAATACTAATTATATATATTTATTTATATCTATAGAGAGTTACAGATATTTCATTTTTAATATTGTACATTAACCATGACTAAGAATTTTCTATGTCTTCCATTGGTTCCAATTGTATATACATATAGGAATTTTCTTAATCAATATAATTCTAATAAAAATTACTTTAAAAACTATAGGAGGACAACCTATCCGCAAAGGACCTGAAGTTGAAGCTCGCATTCGTCGAGCTACAGAAAGAGAAGGAAGAAGAGCTCGTCGAAGAAGAGCTAGAGAATTAGCTCCTACAATGCCAAAACATATTGATGGAATGTCAAGTGATGATGAAGTTACTGAACAGCAAAATCTTGCGTTCAAACAAACAAAAGGTTGTTTCAATAAATTCAGTTTAATTCATATAAAAATTGGAATATACGTACTATGTTTATTGTCATCATAAATTATTGTTACTATTTACTATTACCTTATGATTTATCTAAATTTTAATTTCTCCATACTTTTGTTTCAGACGAAATTGATAACGAAAGTAAAGAAATATTTGCTGACGTCATGGACGAATATTGTACAATAAGAGGAATACTTTCAAAATTAGAATCCTGGAGAGAAACTGATAGAGATGCTTATATGGAAGCTTATGTGTCTTTATGTATACCTAAAATCATTTCTCCTATTATTAGACTGCATTTGCTGACGTGGAATCCTATCATGGTACTTTCTATTATATCTTATCATTTCTATATAGTATTATTGTAATTTGACTTAATTATTATTTTAAACTATGGACAAGTTATAACTGCATTTTGATTTTAGGAAAGTGCTGATATAGAAAGAACGAAATGGTATAACACGTTGCTCTTATATGCGTTAGATAATAGAGAAACAGAGGAATCTCTGAAAAAAGATCCAGATGTTAGATTAGTACCATTTACAGTAGAAAAGGTTGTTGTACCTAGATTAACATGTAAGAATATTTATAAAATATTTAATCATGAAAATTTAGAAATTTTTCAATAAATTACTAATTGATTTTTTATTATAGCTATAGTTGAGAGAATATGGGATCCAATGTCTACATCTCAAACATTACGGCTTGTTGGCACAGTAAATCGTCTTATTAGAGAATATCCAAATTTAAATGATGCGAGTAAACCATTAGAAACATTATTTAATGCTATATTAGACAAAATTAAATCGGCAGTCGAAAACGATGTTTTTATACCAATTTTTCCAAAACAGTTAGTATATTTTGCATATTTTGTCAAAATTGTTAATTGTAATTTTATAATTATAATTTTTACTTTTGTTTTTCAGAGTTCTAGATACGAAACATCAATTTTTTCAAAGACAATTTGCAATGGCTGTGAAACTACTGAGAAATTTATTAAGCTGGCAAGGTCTTCTCGGAGATACGCAATTAAAAAATTTAGCCCTTGGTTCATTATTAAACCGGTATCTTTTAGCGGGCTTGCGAGTGTCAGCCCCTACCGATGCTCTATTTAAAGCAAATATGGTATGTTGACATTTTTTATGTTAATATTAAATTATATGTTAATGTGGCTTGAACTATCTGTTTTATATATAATGCTAATTATGTTTATTTGATAGGTAATGAGTACACTTCCTCGTGCGTGGTTACAAGGTGAAACAATAGATCATTTAAGAATGTTTGCTACACTTATTCAACAACTTAGTGAACAATTAGATCAGGCAAACCCAGCACATAAGTAAGTATTCATAATTTGTTCTTTATTGTGAACAATTACTACAAATAATTTTATTACTATTGGATAGTAAGATGTCAGAATTGATATCTTAGATTTTCTTTAACATATTTTAATTAATATTTTATATTTATTATATTTATTTTTTAAGCTTACACATGAATTAATTGAATTATTAATTTTTACAGTGAAGCCTGGGAGTATTCAAAGTCCATCTTAAAAATAATTAAACCTTTGTAATGTATTAATTATGTATGCATTTCGTAATAATATTTTATCATATTTTTATTTCATAGTATTCATTAATATGCCTGTCTATAGTTTTATACACATACCGGAAAGATCTTGTACATGATAAACTTGCAGTACAATTAGATGTGTAATATATAAAAAATGTAATTTTGTATAGAAATAAATTAAATAAGATTCTGATAATATAGCACAATTTCCAACAGTAATTGTAAATAAAAGATAAACATGTAAAAGTACCGGTCGAGTCGTATTGAAAGGTTAGAGGAAGGCATCTTTCGTCCTACTTGCGGCGTGGCATGCTGTTGGCATATGTACTGTGCAACAGGCGCTTAACAGTCTTCATTGGCATGCATCACACAAGGTTGATAACCTGTGCACCGGTTCTGCATTCTACCTTTTTCGTTTTTCGAAAAGAAAACACGTTGGAAAACGTGCGGAGTGCATCGACATCTATGCATTTAGCGCCAACACAGCGTAAGCAGCAAGGTGATGCTTCCTTTCCTATCATTTGTAGGTATCTACGAGAAGATCTGTAGTCCGTGAAGAGTTTGGTAAGAATAAAACTTTACTTCAACCCCTCCCTAGCTTATGACACATATACATTTTATTGTTTTTGATGTGCTAAATATGAATATAATTGTCGTTTCTAATTGCAATTATTAGTTTTAAGATACTTCCAACAAAAAATTTGTTTGGGTAACACCACCCGGTAATATGATGCACAATAATTATACACCCCTATTATCACTTCATTTGAATTATGCAGTCAATTGATGCGTTTGAAACCGGTTGTGACGTAACAGTTGAGGGCTTTTTCGTACCATCGGTTGACCCAGTTATCTTCAAAGGAGTAATTGGAAAATATTCCGTCATACTAATAAAAATTGAGTATCATCTTACATGGAAGTACATTTTAAATCTATTACAAATAGATTTTATGTTTGCCGCCATCTAGGATCATAACTGTTCTCTTCTTCTAATAAAATAATTTGTCTCTGTCTTTCTTCCGGTTTTGATCAATTTGGCGGCGATTAGTTAAAGACGCATACATGCTTTCGAATCACTCCCTGAAGGATCACTATGCTGGCTGAAATAAATGCGCTTCCGCGTTCATTCGACTTTTTAGCGATTACTTGCGACAATTTGTACATAACGTACTATATTTAATGACATTTATATATTTTTACTAAAGAATTCCATGTATTTACGTTTCTTATATTGCGGGCCAAAAAATAAAATTAATAATATTTTTGTTATATGTAGTAATTTTTTTGTTATAAATATGTATGTATAAAATAAATTTAGCATCAAAAAATTAGAAATTTATTTTTTAATGATGCGGTAGATAAAACTGACGATCATGTGGTCAGAGGTCCTGATATCTATGTTTTTGTTTTTACCATAGTTTAACACAATTTTTTTAGACAAAAGTAATTATTTGTTTCATATTCCATAGATTTATAAGTACAGTATGTTACTGCATTTTATGAAGAATATGATTGTTATTAACATACATATTATAATAAAAATTTGTTACAAAATTTAACAATTAAATTTTAATACTATTTTATTTAAAATTAGTACTAACAATCTTTTGTAATTCTTCAGAAAACATCGCGTATTGATCACATATTATATAAAAATGTACAAAAGAAAATGTAATAGGCTGATTTATACGATTAAAGATAATTTAGACAGGAGATAAATTTGACTCACACATATGGTGAGAACGTGTTCATGGGTCACAGAGATAGGGACAGTAAGGGTCATCTCTTGACTTCTATGAACTCAGTTCACTTTTATTAAGCTACCATTGCACACCATGAGAATCACAGGTATTTAAATAAGTATCGTTATTTATAATTAGGATTGAACTTTTAAACGAGACATCCTTATATACATACTGACGTTTAGCACACATAAGATACTTTATTTTAATTTATATACATTACTTAAACATGATAGTTGATATTGTGAAGCAAGCATTTATAAATACTTGTAATATCTACAGTTATTTATATAAACTTAATAGTTTTAGGAAATTATTAAATATGTAAACATTGATTAAAAAACAAACTTCTTTTTACAGATAATAATTATACATTGCAGACATTAATGTATAAACTAGGAAGAATTGTTCTTGTGTTTCTTCTATTTTGCAATAATCATGTTACATATAGTGTATTCCAATCAGGAAAGGAATATGTTTATTCCTATAGTGCACTTTCAAGCTCTGGAGTTTTGTTACCATCTACTGCATCATCTTCATGGGGATTTCATGGAAAACTTTTAATTCAAATGGAACAAAATGTTTCTACAATGCAGGTATATTTCATAGCATTGTTTAATAAATATTAAGATATGAAAATTGAAATGATTTTATTTTCTCTTAGTTTTTAAAGTGTTCCTTCTATTAGTTGAAGAACGGTTTTATAATGCATCAATCTTCTTATATAGTTACAGTCATTAAAGATGATTGTGTGGAATGGTGAGGAACAAATAAAAGAAGATCAAGATATTCCTGCTGATGCAGATGAACTATTGAAACCATTTCAAGTTACATATAGAAATGGTCTGGTTGAAAATTTTAGTACAGAAGCAACATCTGCATGGTCCACAAATATAAAAAGAAGTATAGCAGGAATTTTACAATTGGATTTGTCTGGCATAGAAAAGGCAACAGCATTTCACTCAACTGAAGTAAGTACATGTAATGGTACTTTACTTTAATCAATGAGTGGTGTTACATCTGCATATTGTAATAATTTTATGTTTTAGCTAAATCACTATGGTCAATGTAATATTGAATATGTTGCTAATCTTGAAGAAGAAAATGAATGGCTGATAAGGAAATTTTTAGATCCTCGTACTTGTGTTGGGCATCCTCATTATACATGGTCAAATGTACCCAAAATGCTGTGTCCTAACAGTGATCAAGTATGTACTATAAAGTTTAAATAAGTTGGATGCAAAGAATATAATCATAAAAAATTTTATTAAATAAAACATGTTATTAATTTTAACAAAATAAATTTCATTTATATTTAGAATCCAATACTAAAATCCAGTGAAAGATTATATAAAGTTAATTTAACTCGACAACTAAGTGAGATTTTGTTTGTCAATGCTTCTGGAGGTATATATGTTCAACCCTTCCAAAGTTTTGGAGAAGCACAGTTTCACTTTACAAGGTATGTTGGAAAGAAAAAATACTGTTATTTTAAAAAAACTATTTATAATACCAAAGAAAGAGTTTCACATCACTAATATTACATTTACACTTCTTTCATATTCATTTCTTGGTACACAGACAAACCTTTAATTTAATTTCGGTGAAAGATACAATAAATAAAATACCTATTAAAAACTTACATTTCAAAGTTCTACAACATGAACTTCCAGAATTAGATCTCACCCAAGGCAGAGGTACTCCTGATAAGAGTACTGTCTTTAAATCTGTAAGTTACATTCCATCTTATACAACATATTTTGTAATGGTTCTAATGTATATTTATGTTTAACAATAATATTTTTATATTACAGATAGGAAGATTATTAGATCGATTAAGCCAGAGACTTGAAAATCCTGGTTTAGATACTGAGACGGGTAATTTACATAACACAACAATCAGTGTGTTACTTTATTATCTTGGAATGTTAAATGTTGCTGATTTACGTGGTGCATATACGAAGATTTCAGGGACTAGTTACAAAGAAGAAACAATACGGTATTCAACAATTCGGATAATTTTTACAAATTTAGCTTACTACATATTATTTTATTCTTTTAATATTATTTTAGAAATATGTTTCTTGAAGCTCTTCCACAAGTTGGTACAAAGGAATCTGCATTATTTATATTAGAATTAATTCAAGATAAGAAAGTTTCGGATATGTCAGCAATTCAGCTTCTTACCCAGCTACCGTTTCACATACGAAAACCTGATATTCAGTTATTAGTCAGTTTACAAACATTTTTAAATTTACCTGACAAAATATCTGTTGAGGTTCAAAATACTGCTATTCTCACGTATGGTACATTGATTTATAAAACATGTTTATTATATTGTCCATATGAAATGTTGGACGATTATGTACGTCTGTACCTTGATAAATTTACAGGTATATAATGATACTTTTTAATCGTTAATTTTTTATTTTATTTAAATTATTATTATAACAATAAATCATTCATAGAGACAAAGGAATACGAAAAAAAAATGATCTGGTTGGAAGGATTAGCAAATATACAATTGGGAAGAGTTGTTGAATTTTTGGAACCTATTGCAAGTGGTAGTAATGCAGAATCGCGGCATTTTCGTGTACTTGCTGCATGGGCATCACTTCCAACTGCTTCTCTAAGGCCTGATGTTGTAAGTACTTTACTTACATAATTTAATAATTTATTGAATATTATCTTTTTATTTTATTATAGATATATCCAGTCTATTGGCCAATTTTAATTAATAGAACTGAACATTTAGAAATGAGAGTAGCTGCATTAACATTACTCATTATCTCTAGTCCTACACCAAACAGATTAATATCATTGTATTGGTATATGCAAAGTGAACCTGATCAACATTTATATAATTACTTTTATACTATGTTAAAGTCAATGGAACACACTACACATCCTTGCTATGTACATATGTATGCAGTTATGATAAATTTATTTTTATTAAATTTCTCGATATACTATTTCTTATATGATTATAATATTTTAGTGGAACAATAGCTACACAATTTACGCGAGTACTTCGACCACCAAAAAATCAGTACATAATTACTGGAAATTATTTATTTGATTATCAAGATATCTACAGGAAATTTGGTGCCATGATACATGGAATTATTATTGCTAATCCTTTAACAAACATACCTGAAGTTTTATATGTGACAGTAAATACTTACGGAAGCGGAATTAATATCAATCATGTGTCTGTAAGTTCTCGATTTTTAGAATTATTTATTTATAACTTTTATGATTATATTTAATATTTTAAATGTTACATACATATAGTTGTACATTAAAGCTGAAGGTCTTCTACAATCATTATCAGCACACCTTGATAGTCCCACACAAATAAAAGATATACTAAAGCAATTTAAATTAGATCAAAGGCAAAATGGACCCGTACATTTAGAAATAATTGCACGTATTCAAGAAAAAACAGTTTTATGTCTTCATATAAATGAAACAAATATTATGAAAGGATTTAAATGTAAGTTCATAAATTGCAGCTTTTTCCGTATTGTTGTAATATCAAATAATACTTTTTATACAATGTTACAGACCTCTCCACTTTACCTGATAATATATATAATATATATCAAAACATGGAATTTCATGTCAATCAACAACGTATTAATATTCCGTTAACAATGGAATCAGTACAGGTCACAGATCTGGGAGCAAATATTAGACTTGCAATTACTACGACATCATTGTTTTCAATGAGAGGAAATTTTACACATAGCTCAGTTGGTCGAAATAATCATGTCATATTACGGTATAAAATAATGAATTATAAATTTCATTTATTTCCTCTTATAATCTTTTATCCTGTGAATTTATTATTTTTAGAACATCTATACATAAATCAGAAATAATAGAAAATTATAATCCTTTGATTGATATATGGCATAGTGCGGAAAGAGCACATTCTGTTCATGGATATCTTCCAGTTAATATTACTATTGGATTCGAGGATCGACCTTTTATCTCATATGATACTCCAGGAGGTATCAATTATTTTACTTAAAATCTTTCTCAACACAGCATTTATTACGTATAATGTTTTAAGAACGATGTAATTTGTAGAACACCTTAAAATGGGAATTACAACTCATGCTAGAACATCGACCAATATAAAAGGTGTAAATGTTAAATCAAAATTAAATCAAGTGTGTTCTACTTGTCCCGAATTATACATAGTTACAAAATTACCAGCTCATAAACTAAAGGTAAATAATAATTAAAATTGTATTTTAGCAGCTATTTATTAAAACCTTATTCATGTTTTTCTATAGGAAAAAGATCTGTTTCAAATGGAATTAGCGGAATTAGGAGGTAAAATATATGTGAAACTTTTTGATTGTGAAAATATAATATCTCGAGAAAAACTAGTACGAGATGTATTTTCTTCGCATCACGATAATTATCAGTAAGTTAAAAGTAAATTTCTATTATAAATCTTACCTAGTAATAGATGTTAATAAGTGTACTGTACTTTTGAATTGTTTCAGTATTTGGCCATTTCTGCAATTTGCTTTTACAGCACTACATTTTTTAGATTATTATACATATATACCACCAAAAGGTAGTTGTGGTTTAGCTGCTTATATTAGTACGATTGATACAACACATACTCAAGTTAGTATATTACAGTTGTATATATTTTAAGTATATAATTTATAAATAATATGTTAAATATGTTCCATTAGGTAAGATTTGAATATATGAAAGGTCTCAGTCATCATATGCTATCTTTAACACATCGCGAGGTAGAATCATCTCAATTATTACAACAATGGAATTTAGCTATACTTTATGAAATTACTAGTTGGATGTCTGATATGATTAAAATTAAAGCAACTAAAATTACTCCAGGTCAAAAAGTTTTAAAGGTAACTTTTACCTGAAAATTTAAAGATACATTCAGTATAAAACTATTGTGAAACTAACGTACTTTTTACTATTTAGTTTTGTTTGGAAGCAGAAAAAGAAATACCTTGGGAATGGGAGTTTCTTAGTACTAAACCAAGTGATCCAGCAACAATTTCATTAAATATTGTTTGGGGTTTGTCCGATACCGCAAAAGGCAAATGCAGTGGATCTTCAATTACATTAAATTTACTTGGTGAAATTAGTAAGGAACAATTAGAAGATGCTAAACAAGCAAAATGGCCATATGAAGAGTGTCGTAAACAATCAGAGGGAAAACATTATACACCCTATTCTGATGCTTGTTATGAGACCTCAAGAGAATTATCAACTTTGAGGAAATATCAAATTATTGCACAACATGAAAATGTAAATTCAGTATTATACTATTAATAACTTTTCATATTTTTATATTTGCTTAACTCTCTATGTTTAACTGTTTAACAATGATTAGATACCAGAAAGCTTGATGAGATTAGCTTGGAAATTTCGTGCTTTCTATGATTTTATTGGTGGGAATAGTAGTTCAGATTCTGTTTCTAAAGAATTTGTTGTAACGGCAAAATTTCCAAAAGATTCAGATACTGGAGAATTATCTCTCAATAGTGATAAAGTAGCTATTGAATATAACTACAATTTTATAGATTATTTTTTAACTAGAACTGGGATTCATAAATATTTGGATTTATCGATTGTAAAAACGGTTTTTGGTAAGTTGTTATATCTTTTGTGTTATTAATTAGTTTCTTGGAAAAAATAGTTAATTATTTGTACCTGCAGAATTCATTCTATCTGATTACAGTACCTTACCTGTCTTAATCACTTCCAAATTTAGGCACGTGTGTTATAACACCAGACTCTATAAAAACTATTCACAATGTGAATTACTCATTTCACAATAAAGGTGAGGTTCTATTACTCGGTCAGTGTTATAGCGAAGATCCGAGATATGCATTAACAGCAGAAAACAATTTACATGGTGTTAAGGTTAATATATATGATGAGATAGACACTGTACGAATTGTACCTAATGAAGTTGGAGCAACGTTATACAATAATACAATAAATATTCCATTGCCACAAAGCTATATGTTCCACACGTTTGGTTCTAAGAAGTAAACCTTCAATTATCTTTTATTCGTTTTTATATTATGTTAATCATACAATCGCATAATATTAAAATATTATGTTTCAGACTAAGATTGGATAATAATACCATAGATATGATAGTTCCTAATCTCTATTTATATATGCATTGGACACGAGAACAAATTCTTCTGTTCTTTCCAACATATTTACTGGAATTTAGTTGCGGTATATGTACGATGCGTACCCTTGATAACAACAATTTGTTTGAAAAATTATAATGTTGTATTTACAAAAAATCTGCTTTATGACTAGTGTTGATACATTTACATTCAAGATATTTGAAATATAGTATATTTAGAGGTAGAGTTTACTTTTAATAAATACATATAATTTAAGAAGATTTGTTGTAGAAATTGTAAAAAAATTAAGTAATTATTTACGTACGTAAGTTAATATTAACAAATATGTATGATTGTATCTAACATGATTTGTATTTCTTGCAAAATGCAGTGTAAGAAAATTTTAAATGAACAAGTACTATACTAACAAGTTATATTGGAGCGAAAAATTATATCATTTATAATAATTCTATATTATAATCACTGCATATAATATATTTTTATAATATAATATATTTTTCAATAATGTTTTACTGAGAAGCATCCTAATTAAAAGAAAAATATATTTTATTCTACTTTTATAAAGTAATAAGAATTCATTTATTTCCTTCAGACAAATGACAGTATACTATCAATTTATAAAACAAAATATATTTATTTCATTCATAAATAGTACAAAGCGGCAGTAAAAAACTAGAATAACATAAATACAAGTTAAATGTTTAAATAAAGGATACATGAATAATCATATTTTTCTATTATTTCTCGTATACATTAGTTAATATAAATTACTAAATATTCTATCGTGATTATGAGCTTTTAAGACATATGTCCAAATGTTGATTCATAAATGATTCTAATATTAATTGCATACAAACAGGACAAGGGTATTTATTATTTTCATCAATCAATATCGCTGAAGATGTTTCCGATATTTCTGATATTTCATTGTTATCACAGTCAATTGGTAATGATAAATCATCCTTAAAAACATTACCGATACAGTCTTCTAGGTGATCAGTTAACGACGTCCCAGACGGAATAAATGCATTACAAACTAAACAATTGTGTGAGGTAGCAATTTTATTTTTTCCAAGCTTTGGAGTAAGAGGAGAATCTTTTAAATCTTCATTTAAAGAAGAAGATGAAGTACTACTAGATGTACTACTTATAGAAATAATACTTCCATTTAAAGTTTCATTTTTATCATTTGTGTCATCTAAATTAGAAATCGAGTTATTATCTTGTTTATCTGTTTCTAAAAGGCACTTATCAAGATGTTCATTAATATCTACAAGTTCAAAAGTTTTACTACACACAGGACAATTAGTTTTTGTTGAATTTTCTAATTTATTTAATTTTGGCGGTTTATTTGAAAATATATGTGTATCGTTTTTTCTTTTATGTACAGGTGAAAAATAATCTGTTTTCTCTTGCGAACTAACAGATTTGTCATTACTTCTAATCATAGTTTTTGTTTTTTCATTTTTTGTTATTGAACAAGAATCTACATGTATATTTATGTCATCATTTAATATGAAATTACTGCATATTGGACATTCCACAAATTTTATTTGTGACTCTTTTTGTGACTGACTATTGTTACTATTTCCTTTTTTGGTTACTGGACTGTTAGTTACCAAATTTATTGGTTTTTTTGGAAGTACAGTATTTATATTTGATCCATGGGATTGACTATTACTATAAAACCTGTCCAGTAGATTACTCTGTCCTGTTTTAGATCCACCAAGTATTTCAGAAGAGGAGAATTTAGATTTGTTAGAAACTAAAGTAGAACTAGGACTATTAGACTTTTGTGAAGTATTTACAGTATTTGGCCCTCCTGTACCCCATCCATGAACATTATTTGTATTGTTTCCAAGTTTTTTAAATTCATTTAATAATTTATTGTTATTTTCCAATGATTTTGGTTTTGTACTAACTGGTGTAGTTTTTGTAAGCCAATTGAACATGCCATTTGGTGACTTAACACTTTTTGGAACAGATTTTGCTTGCTTTGACCCTTTTGCTTTAAAATTCTCTGGCTCTTTGATTTTAATATATTGACCACCACAAGTTTGTTGATGTTCTTTCCACCAGAAATCAGATGGACCTGGTGCACGATTCATGGCTCTACGTACTGTACCAAAGTATGGAGCTTTTTTTTGACAAGGACCATTACATCTCCACCAATGTTGTTGATATAGTCTAACTTCATCATGAAAACTGTGATATATCTGTACAAAAAAAGACAGTTTTAAACAGTACAGTATTAAAAGTAGTACATTATGTTGTTCATTTTATTATAAATACATACAGTTATTTTTGTTCCAGCTTCTTTATTTATTCTATACATATGTTTACAAAATTCTGGACCATGGCCATCTCGATCACGGTTGTTATTTGTGAGAAATAAATATCCATGAATCATTTCATGCTATAAATATGTATATATAATACAAATATTTATATAAATTTCAATTAGATTACCAAATAATAAACCTTACCAATAACGTTTCAACAAGATCTTTCCTTGGTCTAAGTTTTAATAATGGTGCACTAAGTGTAATTATACATTGCCGATTCCTAGGATGAAAACTGCATATGCCAGCACAACTGTATTGTATAAATGTATTATAAAATTACATATATAAACATGTATATATGTAGCTACATTAAACTTGTACAGTACAAAATAAAGTATTTACCTTGTCATTCTGTTACTCCATTTAACTTCAACAGGAAGTAAAACATTCCAAAAAAAACGTTCATTAAATTGTACAAATAATGTATGAATGTTAGGAGTCGGATCTATTAGTTCTAAAGTCTGATCAATTAATGTTCTGGGCTTATAATTTTCTTTATTTCTCTAAAAATGTTTTCATATACAAATTAGATTATTTTTCAATATTATCATTTATAAAATTATATGGCATATAAATAGTCTTGTATAAAATTATTATAACATAAAAACATAAACATTAACTTTATAACATATTAACAATTTAAGAAAAAAGGGAACTTACATTTTCTGGTAAAATTGCATTTTCTGTCAAGCCAAGACAATTATTTTGTTGATGTAATTCATATGCTAATTCAAAATCGCGATTCTTTGAGTGTATCATAACTTTTCAATATTAATAATTATCCAAAAAATTATAAATAACAATGTTTATATCTAAAACTACAGATTGTAGGACATTTTATTTAAAGACGATATACGTGTACAGAATCAACTGTGACTGTAAACATATAAATAGTAAATTTAGATATTATATACAATAAATAATGTAATATAACAATAAAGTTCAAGTTAACGTATATCATCCAACTGACATCAGTCAATTTGGAAACAATGACACCACCACTTTAAACCATGCATTGGAGCATTTGAAATTGACCTGTACTACACGCAACCAGATGTTGCCATAGATTGAATGCCCTATAAGAAAATTTGGAACCAATTCTGAAGGACAGAGATACACGATTGAAATGTTCTCTTTCTCGCATATCACTGCTTCTACCAAGAATCACGTTAGAAAAAGATAACACGCCTTTTACTTATCATCCTCTTTTACTAAACCCAGTTTTTTATAGAATGCGTAGTAAAGAATAAAGATAAAATAAAAGTAAAAACATTGTTGCTAGTTTAAAAATTGCTCAAACTACTGTTTCATCTTTTTCCAAAACTATAAAATTATTCTTTATTCCACGAAAGAATGTATTCAACTCGCGCAGGTCGACAGCATAGGGAAACTACAAGTGTGATGTCCCTCTACAATCTGCTTCCATCTTCATGGTCATATAGACGGTGGGACAAAATTAAGAAACAGCAAAAATTAGTGATGATGTGAGAAGGATACAATAAAAAAAATACACTAGGTACATACTTTTGGCGTCACGATTATCATTACAGCGCTTGCGCGACATCATAGATTACAGATTGCTAAGAACAAAACTTGATTAACATGCGCAGAAAAAGTGCAAACTCGTCATCTATAAAATAAATCATTTTTGAATACGTACATTCGATATCACAAAAGTCGCGAATGTTACTTTTGGTGAAGGATATTCGAACCAATGAAAACCAATACGTACAAAATATGCCAAACCTTATCGTTAGATGCACATGATTTGTCATTGAAAGAAGAAGTCGATTATCCATTCTCTTAAGTCATGTAATTCGTGGTTTATATCTTTCATCATGTCACACGTCAGCATAGCGCGCCCTCTGCCCGTTTCCTCGTATTTGTATATATGATGTGGATGAGAGATTTGCTTATGTAAAAAATTGTATTAGGTTAATCGTACAACACATAACGTATCAAAATAATTAATTAAAATGGTAAGTATTTATTTATTGTTAAATTTAAGTAATTGTTAAAACACGTAAATCTTAAGTGATATTTATGACAATGCGATTGTGATAAGAGGTGCTACAGATGTCAACCACCGCTGATGGTTATTATCGAAATATATTTAAAAAATTGAAATATATGTAATTGATAAATTATTCAATGTTATTTTAGGTTCTTATCGCAGCAGCAGTCTGCACTAAAGCAGGTAAAAGTAAGTATCGTTTATTCTGTTCAGCCGCGCCTGTTTATGTATGTGTGTGTTTTATCTCATAGTCTTATACATAATTTATATTATATTTTTAGTTAATAAGTATTTAAATTTTTTTTTGCTGCATTGATTTATTTGTATTTACTTTTATAAATGTGCGTTTTTACTATAATATCATACTAATATCAATTAATTATGAAGTATATTTTAAAGTTCATTACTTTATAACTTTTTATTACTTGCATTTAAAATATATTTTTGTTCTAAATATATACGTTAACTAAAGAGGACAAATTTAATTTAATAATGTATAATAATTTTAGCTATTATCTCTCGTCAATTTGTTGAAATGACAAAGGCTAGAATAGAAGGTTTACTCGCTGCATTTCCAAAATTAATGAGTTCTGGCAAACAGCATACATTTGTAGAAACAGAATCTGTAAGATATGTTTATCAACCTTTGGAAAAGGTATACATGCTATTGATTACAACAAAAGCTAGTAATATATTAGAAGATTTAGAAACATTGAGGCTCTTTGCAAGAGTTGTAAGTATATTTTTAATATGAAAGTAAATAATTTTCTATGTAAATTATTAATAACTTTATATGTTCAAAGATTCCAGAATATTGCAATTCGATGGATGAACTCGAAATAGCTGAAAATGCATTTAACTTAATATTTGCATTTGATGAAATAGTTGCATTGGGATATAGAGAAAGTGTTAATTTAGCACAGATTAGAACATTTGTGGAAATGGATTCGCATGAAGAAAAAGTTTATCAAGCTGTAAGAATGACCCAGGAAAGAGAAGCCAGGAATAAAATGCGTGAAAAAGCTAAAGAATTGCAGAGACAAAGAATGGAAGCAAATAAAAAGCCTGGTCTTAAAAATCCTGGATTTGGCAATGCTTATGGAAGCAGTAGTAACTTTACACCAACGCCTACTGTGGGAGATACTGCTAACTTTGTACCAGATCCAGTCAGACCTTCATATACTCCAACACAGTAAGAAAAAATACAATATGAAGGTAATATTATTAAAGATTATATTATAATTTATTTTTTATTTACACAGAAAACCTGTTAATGCTGGACCAGGTGCAATGAAATTAGGAGGAAAATCTCGAGATGTTGATTCATTTGTTGACCAATTAAAAGAAGAAGGTGAAAATGTTGTATCGACACCTTTACCTTCAGCAGGCACTAAACCAGCATCAATTACACCACAGACAGTCAATACTGAACCGTAAGACACCTTTTATTTTATTTGTATGTACACCATTAATGAATACCACATAATACATTTTTATTTTAAGAGTTCATTTACGACAAGAAGAACGTCTTAATGTGCGAATTGGCCGAGATGGAGGATTACAACACTTTGAATTGCATGGTTTAATAACATTACATATTTCCGATGAAAAATGGGGTCGAATTCGTGTACAATTAGAAAATAGGGATTCTAAAGGAATCCAATTACAAACACATCCTAATGTAGATAAAGAATTATTTAGGACTCGTGGACAAATAGGTTTAAAGATCCCTACAAAACCATTCCCATTGAATACTGATGTCGGAGTACTAAAGTGGCGATTACAAGCTCAAGATGAAACAGCATTACCTATTTCAAGTAAAAATTATTTATTACATGAAAAATATATCAAATTTATTTTATTATAGTATAATATAACATTTTTTTGTTTATCGTTAAAAACAGTTAATTGCTGGCCATCGGAAAATGGGGAAGGTGGATGTGATGTCAATATAGAGTATGAATTGGAGCAAGCTAATCTTGAATTAAACGATGTTCAAATAAACATTCCATTACCTATGGGATGCAGTCCCGTTGTATATGAATGTGATGGACAATATACACACGAAGCACGACGAAACACAATTGTATGGTCTTTACCAGTAGTTGATGCATCAACGAAATCGGGGTCAATGGAATTCTCAGCACCTTCTTCTACTCCTGCTGATTTTTTCCCTCTTGTTATTTCTTTTTCGTCCAAGACGTCATATGTTAATATTAAGGTACGTCGTATTAAGAAAGAAAAAAACGTTTCCTAACTGTAAGGAGAAACAAAGTTTGAAGCCAATTTTAATACATTTCTAAATTCAAACCGTTTTATTCTTTACAGGTAACTGAAGTTTTGCTTGTAGAAGATGAAAGTCCAGTTAAATATTCAGTAGAGACAGTTTTCTTCACTGATAATTATGAAGTGGTTTAAGTGTTCAGAAAATAATGTTAGTTACTTGTGCTGAACATGTACACGGATACAGAATTGAGTACTGTTCATTGAAATCACAATGAGTATTTTTAGTTAATCATTCAAATTACAAGTTATTACCACAGAACTATTTTTACCGATTGTTGGATGCTTAAATATGTTTTAAACGGTATTTATACACTTTTCATAAATAATTTTGTTTTATTTAATATATGTCGAATGTTGAATTATTAATGAAACTTGTATACAGATATTTTATAGTTGGTGAAAAAAAAGAATACTGAAAATTTTCTCACTTCATGAATTACATTTATTACCTGCATGGTTCATTAAAAATTTTTCAAAATATTTCTTTACGAGTTTTTTTGTGCAGTTACACAAGTTTTCTGGTAAACTGAGAAAATTATGTATTATTATATTAAAAAAGACGTAATAGTATTTTTTGTGTAGTATATATTACATACATAATACATGCTTTTTAGCAAAAGAATTCAATTTTACTATTATTTCACCATTTTATTTTTAATGGAAGTATCTTAAGCATTTAATATTTTTACATTTTTCATGTTCAATAATGAAAAGTATCACTATACGTCTTTTGTACAAATATTCATAAAATGAATAATGATATGTAGGTTAAGAAAGGGAAGATATTAATATTAGGTATTACAAATGTTTGTATACATATATACAAAATATTATATTAATACGTATGAAACAATTTTATTTAGATTTATTTTGATAAGTAATAAAAAGAAATTTAGTTAGTAGTTAATTTTTCTTTTAAGTATATATAAATAATTAATAAATTCTATGTAAAATGCTTGTTCATACAATATTGAAAATATAAATTTAATTAATTAATAATAAACTTTAGTAAATATTTACTATAAATAACTATATCAATATGAAAACTTGAATATAAATACTAATTTTATATTTTATACATCTTTTTCAAAACTATCAAAATGCTTAAATTACATTTTTGTATTATTTACATTATTTTATTGTAAAATGTCAGATGGTACATTTACGACTTGTTGTATTAAATAATTTTCAATAACTGCTTTAGCTAGAAAAAACAATATCTCTTTTTAATTTATATAATGTATTAACACATTGTACATATAAGATGCTAGAAATATTTTGTACATGATGTTTACTTACCAGTTGATGAATTATTTAATACTGCTGCATGATAAGCACTTATATTATAAATATTACGACGTGTAATGTCAGCCCCTCTCGATAACAATTCATAACAGACATGTGGATGGTCACCATATGCTCCATATATCAATGGTGTATTCCCCTCCTACATAAAAGAGAAGAACAATATTTAAAAATATTTATAAATATTTATAAATATTATAAATATTTATTTAATGAACACTATGTCTATATGTACCTCATCACTTGCATTTGAATCAGCACCATGATTTAATAATAATTTTACAAGGTCATGGTGTCCATAAGCAGCTGCCAAATGTAAAGGTGTTTCTCCATTGAGACCACGATAATTTTTGTTAGCACCAGCTTTAAGTAGTTGTCTTGCACTACCTAACTGTCCATATCCTGCAGCCCACATTAGACCAGTTAAACCTTTTTCATCTGGTGCATCCACTGTACCTAATAATAATTTATTAATCATTATTTCAATTTTTTAAATACAATTTTCATTACTAGTTAAAAATAACATACTTGGATGTATATGTTCAGGTGTAAGTTCACCTTGACCAGCTAATGTATGAAATGTAATATCGCTATCACCATAAAGTTGAGGTATTTCTGTTTGCGTATTACCTCTTTGTAAATTAGTGAGCAAAGTAGGTGGCTGCAAAGAGATTTGATTAAATATTTTTGAGATTCATATTAAACTGAAGAATCTTAAATAGCAGACCTTATATAATTAATAATAATTTACCTTATATGGTTGAAAGGCACTGGTTCTTGTAGCATCTTGCCATGCTCCAGGAGCCCAGTGCCATTTAGTTTCTATCGGTTCAGATTTACATCCAATATTTACATTTTCTGGTTTACAAATCAGTGGTCTTGGTCTGATACCAATTGTTGATTCTACTCCATTACGAACACTAGTTTTAGTTTCAGTAGTAGGAGTGTTACATTTCTGTTCTCTCTCTTCTTCTTCTTCTTTTACAATTAATTCAGAATGAATTTGATTTTCCATACTTCTGTTATTGTCAAGTACAATTAATGAAACATTACATGTTTCACAAATAGAAAATAAATGTAATGGTAATAAATTACATTTATATGATTTTATTTTTCTCAAGTTTAAAGTTAAATATTAAGATTAATAAATAAAAAATTCTATAAGTTATTTTTATATAACATAGGATATGTACTATGATTTACTATTTTGTTCCAATTATAAGTATTGAAAATGATTTTCAAAATGTTTAAAAAAATTTTATAATAATTTGTATATAGAGGTTATAGTTTCACCATTAATATGATTGCACTGTCTAATATATTAAATAAAATTGATTAAAATATTTATATAAATTTAATTTATTTGGCTGATATATATTTATAACAGATATTTGTTAAGATATAATAAATGATGTATACATGATCCAAGAAATGATACTTTGATAACATCCTAACAAGAGTGACTGAAACACGGATTTAGGCTCGTCTGAGTGTGTTATAAAGCCAAAATTTGAAAAATGATGTATTTGTATTAATTTAAGCATATTTTGTATCTAAAGTTTTGATATATTTATGTTAAAATAATTTTATTATCATAATATGAGTAATTACTTAAGGACTGTAATTTTTAAAAAGGTACGAGTTAATTTCACTATTTATATATTTTAAGTTATATAAAATAACTGTAATTGTAAGACAACTTAAATGTTTATAACAAGTTCTTTTCGTTTATTTTTAATTAAATAATTAGTAATTTAGATTGAAAAATATTTTGTTGTCATATGCCGGCTGTTTCATTTCATCGTTGATTATTAGTTATAATCAAACTATTTATTACAAATTTTAATATCAGGATACATTATTTTTAACATTGTTTTTTATCAATTAAATCAAATATTTTTTTATGCATTATATTTTCTTAAATATATAAAATCGAACCGTTTTCTGTTTTAGGTTATAAAATCATTACAAAATATAGACAATGTTCATCGAGAAAAAATTATGTCTAATTTGCACGTAAAATATAATCAGACATGTGGTACATACTCTTTCATGCTTCCTTCAAAATCGAAAGATTATGACATAACAAATGAAATTAAAAATCTTGAAAGAAATGATTTAAATGATACTTTTGATAATGTTACAATAAATAATAATACTATAAATTTTGAAGTATCAAGAGATAAATATTTGAAAACTGTTTTAGAAAATAATATTTCTGGTGTAGAACCTCCATTACTTGTAAACAATGGTAAAAATGTTATCGTAGAATTTAGTTCTCCAAACATTGCGAAACCATTTCATTTTGGGCATTTGCGTTCTACGATTATAGGAAATTGTATAGCCAATATAAATGCTTTTTTACAAAATAATGTAGAGAGAATAAATTACCTGGGAGATTGGGGTACACAATTTGGTTTTATTCAATTAGGAATTGAAATGACAAATACTAATGATGCAAAACTACAAGAGAATCCTATTAAAACTTTATACGAAGTATATGTTACTGCTCATAAATCAGCTGAAAGTGATCCAAATCTGAGTGAGCGTGCCAAAGAAATATTTAAACGATTAGAATTTGGAGACAGCACAATATTAAACAATTGGCAAACAATTAGAAACTACACTGTTTTGGAATTGGAAAAAGTCTATAAAAGACTAGGTGTTATTTTTGATAAGTATGAATGGGAATCTATGTATACTGCAAAAGAGATAGATAAAGTACTTAATTTGATAAAAGAAAAACAACTATTAACAGTAGATGATAAAAACAGAAAGGTAATATCCATAACTAAAGAAAAAGTTATTCCAATTCTTAAAAGTGATGGTACATCATTATATATAACTCGAGATATTGCTGCTGCTATTGCTAGGTTTGAAAGAAACAAATTTGATAATATGTATTATGTTGTGGATCACAGTCAAAGAGATCATTTCATTGGTTTGGTTGAAATTTTAAATAAAATGCAATTACCCTGGGTAAATAGGTTACAGCATATTCAATATGGTAGAATACACGGTATGAGTACAAGAAAAGGAACAGCAATATTTTTAGAAGATATTTTAAATGAAGCAAAAGAAATTATGAGATTAAAGCAAATAAATACAAAGAGTAAGTGATTTATCTACATTCAAAGACAAGGCATGAAATAAATAAGATATTCAAGGATAATTACTTAATTAAAATTCATGTTTATTTAAATTCAAAGTGTTTAAAATCTTATTTCTCCTTAGCAACTAAGGTATCATTAGATAATCTTGAACCAACTGCTGATATTTTGGGCATTTCTGGCGTGATTGTTCAGGATTTAAAGCAGAACAGAATGAACAATTACAAATTTGATTGGAATTCTATACACAATGTAAGTTATTTGAACACAATAATAGTTTTTATTATAAATTTAAATGTTATTCGTAAATTATATGTAACATGTTTTAATACTAGATGAAAGGTGATTGTGGAATAAAATTGCAATATGCTCATTGCCGGTTATGTAGTTTAGAACGTCAATCTAACGCTACATTAGTAACAGAATGTGATCCAAGTTCTTTACGAGAACCAGAAGTTGATAATTTGATTACATTAATCAGTCAGTTTGATGAAGTAGTACTTAAATCATATCAAGAATTAGAACCATGCATATTAACAGTATATCTTTTTCACTTATGGTTAGTATGACTATATATTAAGCAAGTATATTAAGATTACAAGTATACTAATTCATACATTCTTTGTAACGTATTCATTTTTTTGTAGCAAAGCTATCAATGTAGCTTTTCGTGAATTGAGAGTGAAAGACGAATCACATGATGTAGGAAATCAAAGATTATTACTTTTTCATGTAGCAAAAGTTACCCTAGCACAAGGTATGAGATTACTTGGTTTAACACCTTTGGAGGAAATGTAAACGATTGAAGTATTAATAATACATTTTATATTTCATACATTTATGTAATGCTTATAACTTGTTTAAAATAATATTGTACAGTGTTCAATAATTTATTATAATAATTTCATTAATGTTTCCATTTATTTATTAAAGTATGCTCAGAAAGTTATGAATAACAAATTTTTAACAAAATTTTACATCCTAATTTTATTACTTAGTTACCACTTATTGCGCATTTTCTTAAAAGATACTTTATAAGAATTTGTTCAAGTCTATTAGATACATTCGACATACACAGAATTGGAAAACCAAACTAACGTTTCTTCCATGTGAACTTTCTTCGAGCTCCTTCCTGGCCAAACTTCTTCCTTTCGCGGCGCCTCATATCGTGTGTTAGAAGTCCAGCTAAATAAAATATTTTTTACGGATACAGATAAGGGGTCGGTACATTATATTTAATGATTGATATTAACAAATATTGTGTCATTATTCTGTATCTATTAAACTGTACGATAATATGCAAGTATATAAGTAATTCATTTTGATCAATATTAGTTTTGAAAGATTGAATTATAATGCATTAGAAATTAGAAATTTCCGTAGTAACTCTTTTAATAAGGATTATTATTTTTCTTACCAATTCTCATTTTTTCTATCATTTCCTTACTGACAAAATTTCGAAGCGCCTTTGCAATACCCCAACGAATGAGGCCTGCTTGTCCAGTTGGTCCCCCACCAGAAACGGTTACTTCAACATCAACTTTGTCGCTCATATCCGAAAATATTAATGGAAATATAACCTGTAATTCAAAGTGGAAGATGTTCAATGTAATTACCAAAATTTTTGAATATATAGAGTATCAGAAAATTGTCCATTAACCAAGTTTCGTGCCGAACATGTCTACAATTAGGGTTTTGAATTTATAATAGGGAGGTAATAGTTTGATATGATCTATGTAAAATTAATAATATTAAATTGTCTGTAGAAAATAAAATTATTTAATTATCTAAATATATTTTTTTATCTAGATAATCATATGATATCTAAGGAGTATTATAAATTCGCATTTTAATTCTGTACTATAAGTGTTTTAACAAATTTAATATAATTATATTTTCATCGCAATTTAATATTATATCACAATTTCTTCCTTTATTTTTCAAGTTTTTCTGATAGGACTTAAATTTAACGCGGCACGAAACGTCTTAACACTTTGACGAATATTGTCACGTATTCATGATTACGACGTTTAATCGTTCATGGCATTATACTTCATCAAATACCATTAGCGATCTAAAAATTATTACTTTTATAGTATACATTTAAATGTTCAAATATTAATCTATAAAAATCGAATAAATTAGAGGGTGATAATTTGTGAACTAGTTTGTAATTATTATAACTCTTTTAAAGTCTTAAAAAGAATATTTAAAACATATGGAGATATTGTTCAGCAAAAATATTTAACAAATAAAAAAAGTTATAATAATTTTAAACTAGTTGAATCATGGGTCACTTTAAAAAAAAAAGTTACACGAAAATTTGACAAAAGTCAAAGTGTTAAGTGCAATGCATATTAAAATATTTTCTTAAGGCGATTAAACTGATTTCTATCTACCTAAAGCTGCATTTTAGAATTTTGTTTATAACCTTTGAAAACAGAGGAAGTGAGACACCAGTTTAATTACCTAATTCATATAAAATTTCTTACAGTGAAACGTGTCCGTTCTAGCAAAATGTATCTATCTTGACGATTTCCTACAGTTATTAACAATTCTTCTCCAATTCAAATGTTTGAACAATGATCATTTGAATGACTACTGAATTATATCGAATTCACTCGACGAACATTTCCTATAATTATAACTGTACACAAGGAAATTTGGACAAAACTTTCATCGCGATAAAAGAGCCAACTTAATATATACAAAAAGATCATTATATTAAGTTTGTAAAAACAATCCTTTTCTCGCCTACTGTCACTTTCACTTTCGGTGCCCCCTGGGGTTCACATCTTTATTACGACATTCAAACTTATGGTTATTTGCATAGAGAGTTAATCGGTCGATTCGTCGCGAAACTTTCGATCATCGTGCGCACTAATTCGAACTATTTCCGACGACTGTCCTCGAGATTTAAATTATTTGTAATTTCAGTACCTAGATTTCAGTTACTCTTTTCCTTCGTCAGACTTTTCACAATACCCTCCAGCGTTTTATTAGTATCTAACAGCTGCTCCTTCAGTGACTTGATCGTATCCTCGTAGGATTGTAGCTTGTTTGCCAGGTTTTCGATGACCAGTTGTAAACTGGAGTCAGAGTATTCCTCGCTCTGCTGTCTCATCCACATAACATGGTCGCTCAAACTGATGTTATCATCGTTCATAAACGGTATATTCTTCTGAGCAATCTCGTAGGCCGCCTTCAGGATGTCCTTCGGTAACCTCTTCTCTAAAGGATTCAGCGGTTTTACCACCAGAACCCGTCTCCTGTTCTCCACATTAATTTTATGATCAGACATCCACTTTCGGAAAGCGTACGGGATGGAACTATTGTGCAGCACCATTTCTGTAAACAGGATCAGTTTCGTTTGACGAACTAGCTTTGTCAAACCAGCGTGGTTTCGTAGTCCCTGGATATCATGAACAGCGATGCCGACCAACAGATTCATCAGAATCACCGTGACGAACACGATGAACAGAGTAAATAGGATTTGGGAGCATACAGACAGAGGATGATAAATAACGAAAGGTCCTTCGGACTCTAATCCCTGATCGATCTGAGTGATGAGACTGTCGAAGTCCAGCTCACCGGCCATCATAGCCAGCACCTTGATGAGGCCCGTGAACGGGTTGCCGAAGGACGGCTCCCCAACAAAGATAACGCAAAAACTGACGGTGAAGCCTATCAACAGGCCAGAATAGGCTAGCAACAGTTTGGCAAATTCAAACTGTATGTGCGTAAACATTGCCACGTACGTGCCAAAAGCTGGCAACTGACCAACCATTAGCATCAAGTTCGTCCAGGCGCACAGTATCGCGAATGCTCCCACGTAATTTTGCCAGTCGTATGTTCGGCCTGTGTACACGAACGAAGTAACGAACACGCTGATGATGACCACGCCGTCCAACACGTTGTCGATGTTAGAGAAGTACTGTTTCGCGGACGTGTACACCATGAAACCGAATATCTTTCTGGGGATGGAGATGCACGTGAAGATGAACAGCAGGTACCACTGAATCTCGATAACGGGTCTCCTGAACAGGAAACCAGAGATTCGCTTGCTGCTGCAGATTTTCGAGCTGCTGGCGTCGTCGTAGTTGTAACACTTGTAAGCTAACGCGGTGAGTACATAGGTAGTCATACAGATGACGGTCATGGCGTACAGCATGATCCTGAGCAGATAGAACTTTCGTATCTTTTCCCATTTCAGGTGTAGAAAGGCCATCACCAATGGATGTGATAGCAAGTCTTTGCACCGTTCCTGTACGAAGGTGTTGATGAAGCTGGTCTCGCACTGATTGCCACTAGGGAACAGCAGATCGAAATGTAGCCTCATCTCGAATTCCCTGTTATGTGGAACAGGCCTCCTCAGCGTTATCGAAGCATCCAGCCTTTGTCGAAAGACCTGTAAGGAATCGGGTATCTTTCTGAGGATAATATTCAATGCGGATAATCCTGCACTGGTAGTCGCGCTGACATCGGCGCCAGCCCATATCAGAACATCAACGCAATGGGACTGCTCGTTCAGCGCCGCCACGTGAAGAGGAGTAAAGCCGGTTTTATCCGCAGCATTGATCAGGGCGCCGTGTTTCAACAAAAGTTCTACAAGCTTCGCGGACGAATGCGTGGTCATAACAGCAAAATGTAAAGGTGTTCTGTGTGCTCGATCGACGGCGTTGATGTTGGTACCAGGAGACTCGAGCAACAGTTCCACGCATTCAATGGACTGAACAAAGCAGGCTACGTGGAGCGGCGTTTCACCCGTGTGATTTTTTTCGACAACGCTCGCTCCTCGGTCCAGCAACAGTTTCACGATCTCCACTGTTCCAGCCCGAATCGCGCAATGCAAAACTGGTTCGACCACCTCTTGATAAAGATATGTGCTAGGCTTTGCCCCGTTATCGAGAAGCACTCGTGCTGCATCCGTCGAATTCCCGAGCACGGCGAAGTGAAGAGGCGTGTAATAGTTAATCGGGTTTCTGCAGTTAATATCGACACCTTTTTTGATCAGATGCTTGATGCAGGATACGTTGCCGCTCAGAGACGCAGCAAGGATGGCGTTCATGCCCGTGCACGGCTCCACGTATTCGCACTTCACGCCTCGTTGTTCGAGTTTTGGGAGCAGGTGAACCAGGCCTCGGTAACAGGACCACAAGTACGCGATGTTTCGTATTCTCTCTCCTGGAGGCATCTCTGGCAAGGCGTTGCACTTCTCTAGCTCCAACAGCAGTTTCATCTCGGCGGTGGTGACGATGGACCACATTATTGACCTCAGATCGTTGCTGTTGATCTGAGCTTGCCTGAGCACATCCAGATTGTCGTAGAACAGGGACTCGTCTACGGGTGGTGGCGTACCGGCGTCGATCTCCACGTGATCGTTCGTCGTAGTGATCAGAGGGGCGTCGTTGGTCACGATCTTTTCCGAGTTGCTCGACTGCCGATATCTGACCGATCGAAAGGTGGAGGCCAGTCTCGTGGATAGGAGATCGTTGGATCGATCGTTCAGATCGGACATCGAACAATGCTTCGTTCTTCCTTCGTGAGCGACCGGTAACCTGAGCGTTTGTGTCATTTGATCTGTAACGGTGTTGTCCGTCTTCGGTGAGGAATCTCTGTCGTCGTCGAAGCAAAAGGGCCGCCGATTTTTCAATCTGGTTAAGGAATAATGTCTAGTCCTTCTACTGCGACTCGTCAACCGTTTGATTTTCGTCTGACTCGCTTTGTCCATGTTTTTGTGCATATCTCCGTCTCCGTCTATCGCGCTCCAACAGTCGTTTTCGTCGAACGACCGACGACGATCTCTTAAACTGGTTAACGAGTAACGCCGCGGTCTTTCCTCTGTAACTATCGTTGGCCCGAGCACGTTCATCTTGCGTTCGCTTTTAATACTCTCCTCTGGTATGTATTATTGCTGAATTTTTCTCTGGAGGATGGTTATCGGTTGCGAAGAAAACACGAAGAAACTGCGCGGTAACACAAGCCACTATCTGCTATCGTGGATCACCTCGACAGAACGTTCCAATCGTCATACCTCGGCCTCACTCTTTTCTTCGTTTATCACGTCACGTCCCAAAGTCATTTGGATCACTTTAAGAGAATGCTCTCGTCATTGCAGTACACGCGACTACCGGTGTCACTCGCCCGAGTGACTTATATTAGCTACTTCGTATTGGATTCGTTCTATATATAAGTTCACAGGAAAATACATGCTTCCGTTCAAGCAGCCAGTACTCCCTCGAATAGGGACCTTGAACTTAAAAACCAACGGTACACAGGGTCATACCAAACGAGTCGCCCGTTGCGGTAAAATCAGCTTTCTCTCGATCAAAATTTCATCGATTCGTTTTTTACTTCTTCTTCTTTTTTAATCAAGGACGTGTTTCTTGGATCTTCCGTCTGACCTAAATGACTGCTTGCTGTGTCTTTGCATATACTGCTCCTTTTTTTTGATGGAACTGGATTTCTTCTTGTTGGGGTTTCACTTTAGTTCCTTATGCGTTATCGTATACACGTTTCTGAGTCTTTTAGCAAATTTTGTAGCTGTTGTAATTTATAAAAAATTATCCATTATATATCG